TAGTTTTAGGTGTACAACATATTGATTCAACAATTCTGTGCATTACTCAGTGCTCACCATGATAAGTGTAGTCATCATACAACATTATTACAATGTTATTGACTATATTTCCCATGCTGTACTTTTCATCTCCATGACTTACTTATTTTATAACTAGAAATCTGTACCTCTTAATCCCCTTCACCTATTTTGCCCATCATCCTACCAACCTCCCCTCTGGCAACCACCAGTTTGTCCTCAACACCAAACAAACAAACAAACAAATAATCTGATTAAAAAGTGGGCAGAGGACCTGAATAAACATTTTTCCAAAAAAGACATACCAATAGCCAACAGACAGATGAAACCTCATTAATCATCAGGAAAATACAAATCACAACCACCATGAGATATCACCTCACCCCAGTCAAAATGGCTAATATCAAAAAGATAAAAAATAAATGTTGGCAAGGATGTGGAGAAAAGGGAGCCCTCATGCACTGTTGGTGGGAATGTAAATTGGTGCAATCACTGTGAAAAACAGTATGGAGATTCCTCATAAAATTAAAAATAGAAATACCATATGATCCAGCAATTCTGCTACTGGGTATTTACAAGTGAAAAATACTAATTCAAAAAGATGTATGTGCCCCTATGTTTATTGCAGCATTATTTACAATAGTCAAGAAATGGAAGAAAGCCCAAATTTCCATCTATAGATGAATAGATAAAGAAGATATGATGTGTATATAATTCACATAGCATAAAAATTACCACTTTAAGAAAACCAAAGCTGGTGGCATCATAATTCCAGACTTCAAGCTCCATTACAAAGCTGTAATCATCAAGACAGTATGATACTGGCACAAAAACAGACACATAGATCAATGGAACAGAACAGAGAACCCAGAAATGGATCCTCAACTCTATGGTCAACTAATCTTCGACAAAGCAGGAAAGAATATCCAATGGAAAAAAAGACAGTCTCTTCAACAAATGGTGTTGGGAAAATTGGACAGTCACATGCAGAAGAATGAAAGTGGACCATTTCCTTACACCATATGCACAAATAGACTCAAAATGGATGAAAGACCTAAATGTGAGACAGGGATCCATCAAAATCCTAGAGGAGAACACAGGCAGCAATCTCTTCGACCTCGGCCACAGCAACTTCTGGCTAGACATGTCTCCAAAGGCAAGGGAAACAAAGGCAAAAATGAGCTATTGGGACTTCATCAAGATAAAAAGCTTTTGCACAGCAAAGGAAACAGTTGACAAAACCAAGAAACAACCTACAGAATTGGAGAAGATATTTGCAAATGTCTCATCAGATAAAGGGCTAGTATCCAAAATCTATAAAGAACTTATGAAACTCAACACCCAAAGAACAAATAATCCAGTCAAGAAATAGGCAGAAGACATGAACAGACATTTCTCCAAAGAAGACATCCAAATGGCCAACAGACACATGAAAAAAATGCTCAACATCACTCGGCATCAGGGAAATACAAATCAAAACCACAATGAGATACCACCTCACACCAGTCAGAATGGCTACGATCAACAAGTCAGGAAATAACAGATGTTGGCGAAGATGTGGAGAAAGGGGAACCCTCCTACATTGTTGGTGGGAATGCAAGCTGGTGCAGCCACTCTGGAAAACAGTATGGAGTTTCCTCAAAAAGTTAAAAATAGAGCTACCCTATGACCTAGCAATTGCACTACTAGGTATATACCACAAAGATGCAAATGTAGTGATCCGAAGGGGTACCTGCACCCCAGTGTTTATAGCAGCAATGTCCACAATAGCCAAACTATGGAAAGATCTCAGATGTCCATCGACAGATGAATGGATAAAGAAGATGTGGTCTATAAATATACAATGGAATATTACTCAGCCATCAAAAAATGAAATCTTGCCATTTGCAAGGACGCGGGTGGAACTAGAGGGTATTATGCTAAGTGAAATAAGTCAATCAGAGAAAGACAATTATCATATGATTTCACTCATATGTGGAATTTAAGAAACAACAGAGGATCACAGGGGAAGGGAAGGAAAAATTAAAACAAGATGTAATCAGAGAGGGAGATAAACTGTAAGAGACTCTTAATCATAGGAAAAAAACTGACGACTGCTGGAGGGGAAGGGGGTGAGGGAATGGGGTAACTGGGTGATGGACATTAAGGAGGGCACATGATGTAATAAGCGCTGCATATTATATAAGACTGATGAATCACTGAACTCTACCTCTGAAACTAATAATACACTATATGTTAATTAATTGAATTTAAATTTTAAAAAGAAACCAATCTGCTTTCACATAACTTATGTAAAAAATTAACCATTTTAATATTTATATTTCAGTGGTGTTAGTATATTTACTATGTTGTGCAACATAAACCATCTCTGGTTGTTTTATATTTGTTTTTAATGGTTTTTATAATAAAATAAAACAAATGCAGAACCCCCCCACACACATACTGAGCTTAATGAATTATTATAAAGTGAACTCCTCTTTAACAAGTACCAAGTCAAGAAATAAAACTTTGTTAGTTCCCTTAGAAGCCCTCCTTGTACCTCATGCCAGTCATATGCACCTTCCTCCTCTCAAAAATAACTACTCTCCAGACTTTTATAGTAGTCGTTTCCTTGCATTTTTTTTTTAAAAGATTTTATTTATTTATTTGACAGAGAGAGACAGTGAGAGAGGGAACACAGCAGGGGGAGTGGGAGAGGGAGAAGCCAGCTTCCCGCGGAACAGGGAGCCCAGTGCGGGGCTCGATCCCAGGACCCTGAGATCATGACCTGAGCCGAAGGCAGACGCTTAACGACTGAGCCACCCAGGCGCCCCGCATTTTTATAGTCTTATTACCTGTGTGTGATACTACAGTTTAGTCTTTAAATCTCTTTTAATTTATTTTTCTCATCCCCCTCTTTTCCTTAGAGTTTATCTGTTGAAGAACCTGGTCCATTTGCCTTGTAGAATTCCCACAGTCTGGATTTTACCACTTTCATATTCAAGGTGCGGTTCAGCATTGTACTGTGTCCTCTGTATTGACTAAAAATTAGCAGCTAGATGCAGAGGCTTGATCAGACTCAGGTTTGACGTCTTTGACAAGACTACCCATTATGTGTGGTTGCCTGATTGTCCCTTTTTTTGGTGGTGTTAGCAGCCATTGATGCTCTTTCCCTAGATTCATTAATTCATTGAGGACTAGAAACATGACTTTCTAATCCTTTCTTTTTTATTTATTTTCTGAAATACTTCTGTAAAGAGATGCTTTCAAAAATCTACTATTTACTTACCCAGTGGTACAATTCATAAAGGACAGGCAGGATAAATGCTTGATTCATTTCCTTTATTTGCCAATATTCAAGATAATCAATTGGTTTCCTATCATACTCCAAATTGACCAGTTTTTAAAAATATGATTATAAGCTCAAGGATTTTAGCATATTTAATCAAGTTTACTCCATTCCATGTATTATTTAAATTGACACTCCATTTGTCCCATTTTTGCTCAGTGAGAGCTTCTTTAAGTTGTTTCTTAAGGCCTTTTGGCACGACCAGTTGTTGTTGACACCTTTCTTGCCAGATGGTGTAAAAAAATTTTCCAAATTTGCCTCATACTTTTCCAGTCCCAGATCTAGAATCAACTATTTCTCTAGGACATCCTAGTTTCTTTTAGTGGGAAATGGTATTTTAAGATCACAATCAGGGCATTAAGGATTCTTATTACTACTGGGTAGGTCATTGTTTCTAGACCTTCTCTGTGTTAACATCTTCCCTTAGGTTTTGATAGTTTCACTGTAATGTATCTAGGTATGGGTTTAGGTTTATTAATATGCTCAGTATCCATTATGCTTCTTACATCTGAGGTTTTTATTTCCTACATCAATTTTGAAAAATGTTTGATTTCATTAGAAACTCCAATCAGTTTTCTAAAATGGTTATATAATTTTGCACTCCCATTCACAATGTACAAGCATTCCAGTGATTCCATATATTCATCAACAATTGATATTATCAGCCTTTTAATTATAGCCAATCTGGCAAGCATGTAATGGTATCTCATTTTGGTTCTTATTTGCATTACCTAGACGAGGAATGATATTGAGCACCTTTTCATATATTTGTTGGCCACCTGGATATCTTTTGTGACGTTTTCAGACTTCGCTTAGTTTTTTAACTGGGTTGTTCTCTCTCTCTTTTTTTTATAGATTATTAGGAATTCTTTATATTATCATTATCAGAAGTTCAGAAATAACAGAAGTAAAACCAGTGAAACACTGAAGTAGTAAATAGTTAAAGTTTATTGTGCACATACCAAAAACACAGTTGGGAAACCAAAGCATGGAATGAAGCTCAGGGGTATATAATGTAGCTTATATAGTGAGAAAGCAATGACTGTTTATTCTTCACAGTGACTGGTTATAATATTAAAATTCTTTAAGTGATAGTGAATTGGTTAGTAGTTACCTCATATCCATCTTGACAAACAGTTTAAGTTTTGCTTAGATTTCCAAGGCATAAGCAAGAAATGACCCAGGTCATGTTAATCTTGTAAAATAAGCTAAATTAAGCTTTGTGGTATGACTAAACTGGTTTTGTCTGCTCAGAGAGTTTTCAAGGCTGGCCTCCTATTGGTTTTTTGGTTTTAAAACAAATTTTTTAAAGATTTAATTTCTGTATTTCACCTAATATTTCAGAATCCATAAAACTGAGTAACCCACAAAGTAGGATGTTTCATATGATCATTATTTTTTGCCCATTTGCTGTTTTTTTCTTTAAAAGTCTTAAAAAATAGGGGCGCCTGGGTGGCTCAGTCATTAAGTGTTTGCCTTTGGCTCAAGTCATGGTCCCAGCATCCTGGGATCGAGCCCCGCATCGGGCTCCCTGCTCAGCGGGGAGTCTGCTTCTCCCTCTCCCACTCTCCCTGCTTGTGTTTCTGCTCTTGCTAACTCTCTCTCTCTTTCTGTAAAATAAATAAATAAAATCTTTTTTTAAAAAAAGTCTTAAAAATATATGGAATGCTTCACGAATTTGCATGTCACCCTTGTGCAGGGACTATGCTAATCTTCTCTGTATTGTTCCAATTTTAGTATATATGCTGCCGAAGCAAGCACTGGTCTCCCTTTGTTTTTGATTTTACCACATTTTCTGGATACAAGTCATTTAACAGATGTATGTTTTGGAAATATTTTTTTTCCCAGTCTGTGGCTTGCCTTTTCACTTTCTTAATGGTGTCTGTTGATAAGCTCATTCGACTGACTCTTGCTTATTGTGGAATATTTTATTGCACATTTTGTAATTTTTAAGAGCTCATCTTTGGCAGGGCTTTCTTTATCTGTGTGGATTTTGTGTGATCTAAGTTGAGATTGTCCTCTCTGGAGAGGTTTAGTATTTGCTTTTGTCAAATGCCTCAATATAGGACCAGTTTTTTACCTTAATGTTTTGGCTTTAAGGTCCTAAAAAACATGTAGTTAGGGTAAATGTGATTCTCAAACCCAACTGAGGGTGGGCCTATTGTTGCAAATTCTTGAGGGAGACCTTTTTCATGCAGAGCAAGGCTAAAATAGATATACCCTCTTATTATTTCTCTGTAATGATGAAAGAACTCTGGTTCATTCTTTGACTAAAGGTCCCAGTTTTCCCTGAGCATCCTGCTTTATTTTCTGTTCATGTGTCTTTTAAAAAACCAGGTCCTTGATTACCAAGATAAGCAATCTCCTCCACTCCACCATCTATAGGATCAATTTATGTTCATCCTATAGTTTTAGCTCCTTTATTTTTTGTCCCAGGACTTGGGGGGAGGAGGGAAAAGAGTCCCTGGACTATTACTTTCATAAAAGTTCAAATATACATTTAAAATAATGTTCATAGGGGCGCCTGGGTAACTCAGATGGTTGGGCGTCTGCCTTCGGCTCAGGTCGTCATCCCAGGGTCCTGGGATCGAGTCCCTCATTGGGCTCCCTGCTAGGCAGGGAGCCTGCTTCTCCCTCTGCCTCTGCCTCTCTCTCTCTCTGACTCTCATGAATAAATAAATAAAACATTTAAAAATAAATAAAATAAAATAATGTTCATGGGAGGAGCTTGGGAAGATGGAAGAGTAGGAGGACCTTAAGTTCACCAGGGCCCACATTTACAACTAGATATTAATCACATCCATGTAGGTAAACTGGAGAGCAATACGAAATCTGGTAGAACAAACTCCACAACTAAATGTAGAGAACAAGCTGCATCCAAGAGGTTAAGAAGGGCAGAAATGGTGGTCAGGAGCTCCCCTCAGGAGGGAAAGAGCTGTGGCATGGAGAGGGAGAAAGAAATGGCCCCTTGCACCAGGGAGCTCACACAGGGAAGATGAATCCCCATAACATCTGGCTTGAAAACCAGAGGGGCTGAATTACGTGAGTTTGACCTGGAGCCTTGAGCTTTAAATGTCAGCTGGCCCAGTGCTGGGCAAGCCTGGAGGGTGAGTGATAGCTGGGTCCCCACCCTTAGAGAGTAGTCTATGGAGAGGCAACATAGAAGCAACAGTTTGCACAATGCCTAGGCCAAATGGGAGGAAATCTGTTTATACTGATTTCAGACTGCGTTGGGGGACTTCTCTGGGACCAAAGGAGCTGGCAGGTGCCATTTTCCTCCCCAACCCCAGCATAAACACAGAGACACTTGTGGGAGGCTGCCCTACACAAACACTTGCTACCTGACCTGCTAGCAGTGTGCCCCACCCATGTGTTCTCATGAGAACTTCCCCACTCCAAGCCTGGTGGCCTCAGCCCTGGGCTAAGTGAAAATTTTAATGTCTGTGTACCCTGTCCACACGGTGAGTGTGCCCCTGGCTACCACCACAGACCACCACAGCCACTGTGCTTCAGGGGACTGGCTTAGGACTATTGGCTCAGTGCAAGTTTTGCTAACACCCCTGCCCTGCCCTGCCCCTGAGCCCTCCTTTGGTCATGCTCCCTAGTTGTTGGCCTGCTGGGTTCTCACTAACACCACAGAGAACAAGCACAGCCCACAACAGGCAGAGAGTCAGCACAGATGTCTGAACTGAAAGAAAAAGCAACAAACACAACAGCAGGATGCAAGCAACACACAAAGGAGACTCCCTGGAAGTGCCAGGTTCTGGTGAACAGGGGTCACTGCCCTGCAGGGCACTACAGAACCTCTTTTTCATTTAGCCATTACTTTCAAGAGCAAAAGATGTAGCTGACTTGCCTAACACATAGAAACAGACACAGAGAAGTAGACAAAATGAGGAGACAGAAGAATGTGTCCCAAATGAAAGTACAGGACAAAATCACACAAGGAGATCTAAGCAAAACGGAAATAAGTAATATGCCTGATAAAGAATTTAAAGTAATGATCATAAAGATTCTCACTGGACTTCAGAAGAGGGTGGAGGACATCAGTGAGACCCTTGACAAAGAGATAAAAAATAACATATCAGAGATGAAGAACTCCATAAGTGAAATTAAAAATACACTAGATGAGGGGCACGTGGGTGGCTCAGTTGGTTGAGTGTCTGCCTTCAGCTCAGGTCATGATCCTGGCGTCCTGGGATCGAGCCCTACATTGGGCTCCCTGCTCAGTGGGGAGTCTGCTTCTCCCTCTGCCTCTGCCTTTCTCCCCCCACCCTCTCTCTGTCTCTCATGAGTAAATAAATAAAATCTTTTAAAAATACACTAGGTGAAATAATAGTAGGCTACAGGAAGCAGAGGGATATATAAGTGACCTGAAGGATAGAGTAATGGAAAGCAATGAAGCTGAATGAGTGAGAGACAAACTAATACTGCATAATGAGAATAGACTTAGAGAATTCAGTGACTCCATCAAGCATAATAGCATTCACATTATAGGAATTCCAGAAGGAGAAGAGAGAGAAAGGGGAGCAGAAAATTTATTTGAAGAAATAAGAGCTGAAAACTTCCTGAATCTGGGGAGGGAAAAGAGATCCAGATTCAGGAGGCATAGAGATCCCCTAACAAATTCAACCCAAAGAAGGCTACACCAGGACACATAGTAATTAAAATGGCAAAAAATAGTGATAAAGAAAGAATTTTAAAGGTTGCAAGAGAAAAGAAGACGGTACATGCAAAGGAAACCCCGTAAGCCTATCAGCTGATTTTTCAGCAGAAACTTTGCAGGCCAGAAGAAAGTGGGACAATATATTCAAAGTGCTGAAAGGGAAAAATCTGCAACCAAGAGAACTCTATCCAGCAAGGCTGTCATTCAGAATAGAGGTGATATAAACAGTTTTCAAAAAAAAAAAAAACAGTTTTCCAGACAAACAAAAGTTAAAAGAATTCATGACCACTAAACCAGCCCTACAAGACTGTTAAGGGGGATTCTGTGAGTGGAAAACAAAAACCATAAGTAAGGAAAACAGGAAGCATAAAAGCAAAAAAATTAAGTATATCTGTAAGAGTCAGGAGAAGTGCAAAATAAAAGGATGTAAAATATGATACATCTGAAACATGGAGGGGAGAGGAGCAAAGAATGAGTTCAAAATTAGGCGACTATCAGCTTAACATAGACTGCTATATGCAGAAGATATTATATATATAAACCGTATGGTAACCACAAATCAAAAAACAGTAATCAATATGTAAAAAATAAAGAGTAAGGAATCCAAGTATTTTGCTAAAGAAAGCCAACTAATCATGAGAGAGGAGAGCAAGAGAAGGAACAGGGAGGAACTACAAAAACAACCATAAAACAAGCAACAAAATGCCAATAAATACACACATATCCACAATTACATCTGAACATAAATGGACTAAATGCTCCAGTCAAAAGACATAGGGTGATGGAATGGATAAGAAAATAACAATCTATATGCTGCCTACAAGAGACTCATTTCAGACCTAAGTCACCTCCAGATTGTAAGTGAGGGGATGGAGAAATATTTATCATGCAAATGGAAGTGAAAAGAAAGCCAGAGTAGCAATACTTGTATAGTAAAAATAGACTTTAAAACAAAGGCTGTAACAAGAGACAAAATAGGACACTATATAATCTTAAATGGTACAATCCAACAAGAAGATACAACAATTGTAAATATTTATGCACCCAACATGGGAGCACCCAAATATATAAGGCAGTTAATAACAAACATAAAGGAACTAATCAATAGTAATACAATAATGGTAGGGTACTTTAACACCCCACGTTCATCAATAGACAGATCATCCAAACAGAAAACCAACAAGGAAACAGTGGCTTTGAATGACATATGGGACCAAATGGATCTAACAGATATATTCAGAACATTCCATCCTAAAAGGGAGCAGAATGCACCTCTTTTCAAGTGTACATGAAACATTCTCTAGAATAGATCACATATTAGGCCACAAACCAAGTCTCAACAAATTCAAAAAGAGCAAAGTCATACCATACATCTTTTCTCACCACAATGCTATGAAACTAGAAATTAACCACAAGAAAAAACCTGGAAAGCACACAAACATATGGAGGTTAAAAAACATGCTACTAAACAATGAATAGGTCAACCAAGAAATCAAAGACAAAATTAAAAAAAACACATGGAGACAAATGAAAATGTTACATGAAAATGAAAACACAATGGTCCAAAATCTTTGGGATGTAGCAAATGCTGTTCTAAGAGGGAAGTTTATAACCATACAGGCATACCTTGAGAAGCAAGAAAAATCCCAAATAAACAATCTAACCTTACATCTAACAGAACTAGAGAAAGAACAATAAGCAAAACCCTAAGCTAGTAGAAGGAAGAAATAATAAAGATTAGAGCAGAAATAAGCAAAATAGGAGTTGGTTCTTTGAAAAGATCAACGAAATCAATAAACCTTCAGTCAGACTCATAAAAAAAGGAGGACTGAAATAAATAAAATCAGAAATGAAAGCTGAGAAAAACAACTGACACCACAGAAATATAAAAGATTGTAAGAAAATAGTATGAAAGATTATATCCCAACAAATTGGACAACCTAGAAGAAATGGATAAATTCTTAGAAACATGTAACCTTCTAAAACTCAATCAGAAAGAAATAGCAAATTTGAACAGACTGATTACTAGGAATGAAATTGAATCAGTAATAAAAAAACTCCCAACAAACAAAAGTCCAGGGCCAGATGGCTTCAC